TTACGGTGAGAAATAATGTTGTTGCTGCATGCCCACTATCTGTGCATTGTGTAATGTAGTCAAAACAATCTAATTGGAAAGCAGTGCACGACCTCCTAGCTAAGAAACCGTATTGGGATGGAGATAGTAGGTCATTTGACCGCAAGTACTGAATGATTTGAGTCTTTACTGTCTTCTCCATTACACGTGAAACTACAGATGCGATGTTGATGGGGCGGTAGTTGTTGACATCAACTATAGGCCCGTATTTATGGAAACATCTTTCAGCATGTAGGGTATGTCCTTTAGAGACTGACGGTATCGACGTTCGCGAGTTGTACGGATTATACTAACGCAAGATCTTATACCAACAACTTCTATAGTGTTCGTTCTTCGAGTACCAAAGATAAAGCAAAAGACCAGATTTTGTCGTCCAAATACGAGATATATTTCGGGACCAAATCGCGGGTAGAGGTGAATGCTTAGCTAGCTAGTAATCGTGCAAAGTGTGTCACTTAGACATTCGTCTGCTTTACGTGGGAAATACACAACCTGATCGTTCTCCAAGGTGTATAGTCTAGCAAAGTGCTTGCTGGACAGTTCACACATCACCTCGGTATTCTCGGAGGCAATGCCATCTAATTATATTATTTTTAGATACGCTGTGTTGGTGTCTGTTAATTTACTTTTGAAAAGTTCGGCTATTTCTCCTGAATTATGCTGTGGCTGGATAGCCCGGATTTCTTTCTTTCTGAGGCTTATATTTTTTAACTCTTGAATTCTAGTGAGAAGGGGCGTAATAGCAATTAGTGATGATAAGTCAACATATCCGTAGAATTTTATTGAGTGTTTCCTTCGACTTCTCCTCAACGATGTCGGAATATAGTCGCTTTGGGGGAATTTGAAGCTAAGAATCTTCTCAGTTGCGATAACATAATGAATTGAGTTAATATTGTGATAAAAGTTGTCAAGACTCGTTCGAAAAGTAAGAGTCCCAATTAGAGCCTCTAATTAGGTGCTGATACAAGTCCCAGTCGGCAATCTTATAGGCGTCTGGTATCCGTGTTTGGTGCTGACACGGTGAATATGCCTTGCCCTAGCTGTAGACTGTTCGCTATGCCAGCAAGGAATTGACCCAATATCATGAGTGCTATGGGGATGATGCCAGGTGTTTCTGCTAACTGACGCTGGTGAAAATCCTACCCGAAGGTATTCGTAATGAAGTGATGGTATCTATTTGGGGTAGTCATCAGACCATATCAAGTTTTGTGCAGACATTGGCACATGCTCTCTACTAGATACATAAGATGTGTGAATAGGTTCTGTGGGTTTATTTGGCTTGCTAAATGTAGTCTGTGGCCGATGTTTTGGGGATTTTCTATAATTTTCAGTTGATAGAACATTCAAAGAGGGCTGGCTAACAACAGGTTGGCTTAGCGGATGAGCAGAATAATACAGATTGCCTCATTGTGTTGTTTGTCTAGAAGTAGTGATTGGGTATAATTGGCTTTCCACTTGATACCAATTAGGCCCACCTCTAAGAGCCTGGTCTGTCACATTTGACTTTCTCTTAGAAAGATGGCTTAAAGGTGCTTTCGTCCCTATCATATCAAAGGGCTTTCTTACTCCGGGTTCAGTATTTAATTTATCTACTTCTTTTTCCCCGTTCTTATGTCAACTGGTTGATGATGGCTAACAGGGAAGGCAGTATATGCTATGTAGGGTTTCTGTTGCTTGGACACCTCATGCGTTTTAGTTTGCTTAATGGAAATAGGACGTTTGTCATAACGCCTAGCTTGGATAGCTACATTCGACGGGTACTTCACAGTGTATATGACATCAGACTGGGGAGTAACTGGCTTATGAAGAGATGGATGGAACACCAGTGGGATGGGTTTTGATGTTTTCTGGCTCTTGACGTTTGTGTCAGTGTACAAACGATGTAATTCAACATTATGTTCTGTTGATTCATCTATGTCCACCATTTCAGTGTCAGCATCAGCATTGTTATTAAATACTTGGCTTATATTAGTCTGTGCCTGCGAAAATGTCTGATGCATGCGGTCATCAGGTATATCGCTAGAAGGAATAACGTATGGAACATCAACTGCAGTTGTCCTGTTAAAGTTATCAGTATCCAGTGTTCCTGAGCGGAATCATCTTTGTCACGGCGTTAAATCAGGAGCAACCGTAATTTTAGTGTACGGTGTTAGAGAGCCCATTTTCTTACCAGATTTCAGAAAATTCCTGGATTCTTCGACAGACCTGAAATTGAAAAGCACCGGACATGAGTGGTTTGCAGATTTCTTACGAAGACGCAAAACCTGACATTCTGTCAACGACATATTACAAGCCTTCAGACACGAAGCTTTAAGTTTGGTAATAGGCTCTCTGTCTGGAGTGTTATAGGCCAAGACGTTATGTGAAGAAATAATCCTCTTAACGGCTTCTTCAGTCAAATAATCAATTATGCGCTCAGATTTGGTAAGTGATTCAAGACAGATGTTTTGTGATAGGTCACACAGGTGCGTGAGGGCCATGATGCTGTCAAACTTGCTCTGTAGGTCTGCTATTGACTTCTGAAGTATCAGTAAATCATTTTTGCTACAAGCTGCATTCTCTGTCAGTTCACCCATGATATCAGATACCATAACTCTGGGTGTGTCTGGTGTTAAAAGTGTAGAATCGTCAACGGAGCTGAGGCCTTCAGATGGTTGACGAGTATTGGATCTCAGTCTCTTAACGCTACTAATACGTCTAACAGAATTAACCATTACGGAAACAAGAATTTTCACAGTTTTCGGAAGAAAAGTCTTAGGAATATAAAAATGATTGTTATATTATTGAAGTATCAAAAACAATGATAAACAGCTATATATTGCAAAATAAAAGGGAAGACTTTTCTTTAATAATACTGCCTGGAGATAAAATCCTTAGTCCCACGTGATTAGAAGGGATTTCAGAGGATCCCGGGTTGTAGATTTCAAAAGTGAATTCTATATATATTTCCAGGTGAGTATGGATATGTGAGTAGCACGGCTAAGTTCCAAAAGAATATCGAATGATGATTCACGCAGAAACAGAACACCTGTAGTGCAACTGTTCGATGTTAACACTATATATCCCCATACTCGAATATACAAATCCAACTTCAAACTTACGAGAACATTATCTAAATTTGTACCCAGTCCTCACCTATTTGTATTTACAGCGAATCTGCATTCCTCATTGACTGATTATGATATACCTATAAAAAGTGTCGTCTCTGTTGACACGCTCCGACGATATCTAAGGAAGTTAACGTGAATTTATTTCCTGACTGATAGTAACTACCAGTGGGATCCCGACTGCTAATTAGGTCGCTGGAAACACTACAACTCACTGAGGACTGAACGTACATCCAACTGACAAGTTCCAAGCAGAACCTCCATAACCTTGACTGATGCATACTGCTAAAGAGTCCCTACCTGGAGCAAATCAGCCACCTAGCTACAGGGAGTAACCTAAATTTCTGGTGAGAGCTCGTAGCCAGCTGGGGTTTACCGAGCCACGGAAGAGAACAGCTAATCAACCATGATACTGGCCGGTGGTTGCATTACATATTTGAATTAGTGTTAAAATTCATGGGCATACCATTGTACCCCAATAGCTGATCACTTTGTAACCGAAAGGTCCTGAATTCGAGCCCTGTGTGAACTCGTCATCAAAACCTGGAAAAAATAGTCTGCGAGTTGATCACGGATTGATATCAGTAAGAGTACCATCGAAAACCAGGGAGTACTGGACAGCTGCTGTTTCATCATAGTTTGGGAATCATCGGCAGTACGTACCCTTGCAAACCAAACTATAGAAAATTAATCTGATGCTCGCTAATGACTTGCTACAGGATAGAGTTTCCTGGAGGCAGTTCTAGTGAGAAGTCGTGACCAATGAGATGTCACGTGTGTGGATGGATGTCCCACCAACGACAATGGTTGGTGCCAGTCGCGCTAAATCACGAATTGGTAGAAGTTAGAATTCATGGGCTGGCCATTGAATCGGGTGACACCCAGTGGCTGAATGGTATACGAGCCAGCTTGCCTTGTAACCGGAAGGTCCTGGGTTCGAACCGTGGCAGTGGGTGCGTACTGCCGATGATTCCCAAACTAGGATGAATCAGCAGCTGTCCAGTACTCCCTGTAACTGGTTTTCAATGGTTCTCTAACTGATATCAATCCGTGATAAACTCGTAAAAACATAACTAACCCTTACAAACCAAAGTATAAAAAAAATAGTCTAACCAAACAGCACTCCATCATCAACTATTTACTACTTCCTCTATCCCACTATCCCATACCAAAAAAAAAAGAAAAAAGAAAAGAAAGACAAAAAATCCATACCACCAGGAAGAGATTTTATTTTCATCATTTCATAAAAACACACATCGTTACCATCACCATCATTATACTTATTTGCTATCATAAAAGATTGTTCAAATATTTGTATAATGATGCATATTGTTATTATCATTATTACTACAGCAATCATTAAGAGAACAAATGATGATAATAATACAAGGGGTAGATGATGCTTATTCACCATTAATCTATGCGTCTCCGCCGACTCCTCAATCATCATCAGTATTGAAATTGATAAGTAGTCGATGGAAAAGATCAGACAGCAGTAGTAACTCAGTTGAATAATAGTAGTAATAGTAATAATAATAATAGTAATACTGTTCAATGAAAAAATATCACTTCCATAAGAAGTAGACAATGCAAAGGAAGAGAAGACGAGCATCCATAGAGTCAGTACATAAACAGTATTGATAGGAGTAGCTCTCAGTGCACAATATTTACTATTGTGCCTAATCATCACTCTTATTATTATTTATATAAATACGACACACAAAAGAGCTAGCACAAAAGGACAAAAAATAGTAGAAAACAGATCAAGGGAAGATGATTTAGGTAGGAACAATGAGAGGCGGATAGACAGACAAACAGACAGAGCGAACGAATGGACGGCGTACTACTGTGTTGTTAGTTTTTTCTGTCTTCAGATATCGCACTAAATAAAAAAATAATGATTAAAAAGAAAACAATAGAATACAGAATCATAATGAATTTAGACATGTTGAAACATAAAAGGATTTCATTATGAGCTGACATCGGTTAGAGAACCATTGGAAAACCTGCACAAAGAGTACTGAACAGCTGTTTCCGTCTCCCTTGTTTGGGACTCTTCAGCAGTGCGCACCCACCGGGGTTCGAACCAGTCGCAAACTAGGACAACAGAAACAGCTGTCCAGTACTCTTTGTAGGTTTTCCAATGGTTCTCTATCCGATGTCAGCTCATGATGAAATCCTGTAACCAATCAATTAAATCCTTACAAAATCAATACTTGAAAGGTTGAAGGAACATGTAATCAAACTGAATTATTATTATTAAAACAATTAGTCCCTTTGATAAATTTGAATAAGGAAGGGATTTAGAAGACAAATTTCGCGGGATGATATTTGCATTTCGTAGTTTCTTTACAACCGCTTTACAACTTAACATGGTTAACAATAATAAAATAAAATAAAGCACATGACAATTACTCAGTTAAATAAAAAATAAAAGTGCATGCTAATGACCTATCATATTTAATAGGTCATGTTGTCCATGGTAAGCGAAGATTGAAGTCTATTGTTTTTAGTAAGCTGCATGTGATTAATCCCCCAAAGTGCTTCCATCACCTTCAATAACCAACCTTGAATTAGAGTTATGTGAAATAATTGTGAAACAGTCATTAATATTGATTGATTTTGTGACCTGACATTAATAAGTGTTTTGCAATGGATGATACTGGATTTCTATTCAGATTACTGGCATTGGGATTTTCAATATGATTTAGTAGCCATTTTGGAACATGTTCTTTCCGACGACATTGCAACATTCTATTGGTTCTACACCTATATAGGTGTCACCACAGCTGCAGGTGAACTTGTAGATACAGTTTGAAGTAGAGTCCACAGAATTTCGTCCTTTAATCGTAGGTACAGGGATGGAAAATGTTCGGCAAGTGAGAAAAAGAGATGCGGCGTAGAATGTGCGTTTGATGGCTGACCGAAGTCTTTGAGTTAGCTGTCAACTGCATAATCTGGTCACCCTTGAATAATGGTAGGTTAATAAAGATAGCTTTCTTTGGTACCGAAGCTGTCTTTTCGAGATGCGGTCTTTCTTTATTGTGACAAGTGATAAAGTTTTCTGGATAACCATTAGCTAATAAAACTGAATGTACATGTCAAAACTCATCCATCACTGTGTCACTTGTGCATATTTTTCGGACCCTTGAGAACAAACATTTCACTAGGGAACGTTTATACTGCCTAAACACACACAGCCTAAACTGTGTGTACAGTTAAAACAATAGACTTCAATCTTCGCCTACCATGGACTACATGACCTATCTAAATATGATTGGTCATCAGTATGCACTTTTGTTTTTTATTTAACTGAGTAATTGTCATGAACTTTATTTTATTATTGTTAGTCATGTTAGTTGTAAAGCGGTTGTAAAGAAACTACGAAATGACGATATCATCTCGCGAAATTTGTCTTCTATATACCTTATTCAAATTATTATTAATGTTTTCATGTAACAGGGGATTAAAGTCATTGAAAACAAGCTAACCCAACTGAGTTTCAGCATAGAGCTATACATAGAAATGCAGCAGTTCAAGCTGCCACACCACCTCCTTTTCGCAAACATAAAAGATTTTAAAAAGACTCGAAAGAGAGACATAATTATCAGAAGTGTGAGGGAAAAAGAATAGTCAAATGGAAGAACACTAGAGTTTTATTGGATGCATCTGAGCTACCATTGAGAACGATTTTTAGCCATATCATCAGCCACTGTCCCCACAGCCTTACCGTCCCTACAACTCCAATTAATCAGTCAGGCAGTCTATGTCTCCCTACGCGAGACTGGCTTAAACTAACTGTTATGGATTTCATTGACTGATGAAGCCACCTTTTCGTTTAACCAGCAGTAGCCACGTCTTTCCCAACCTGATCCATGCTATGTCAGCTAACATTGATCGTCGAGGAAGGCGATTGATGGCTAGACATGCGTGATACATGTCCTAACCATCTCACTCAATCGATGTAACTTAATAGCCTCGTCGATTGATTTCGCCTCCTTACACCTAGCACTCGACCGATGCCTAACCTCACAATTGCTCACCTTATTATACCATTTCACACGGGAGATAGAACGCAGGCACCTATGATCAAAGACAGCTAGCCAGGCTTTTCATGTCTTCCAATTTTAATGGCCATGTCACTCACACAGCTATAACGGAGGACAGAGTGAACTGGTGAGGAGTACACAAGCCCTTTGGTCGACAGCCAGATATCACGTCTACGCCAAAGGGTATAGTAGTCAAGATAAACGTAGAACATATAAAGCAAGACATATCCTTTCTCATCATTTATGTTTACATATAGTTAGAGCTTTGATCATGTATAAGTGGAGAGAACGTCAAGTTTTATAGGGTCTGAATTCAGATTTGTAGATAGCTAATTTGAAGAATACCTAGTGCTCTGGTCGACAGTTGGCAGCATATGCTACATGAGCCTTCTGTATACGTGCTGAGATTTCTTCAGCGACCAACCTGTTGGGACTGGCTGATGCAACTCCCCATTTACGCGAAGCAGTCAACGCGCTCAGCACCCACTTCACTCCCTACCTATCTTTAAGCTAGTAGTCGATGAAGTTCCATCCTGTACCAGAATCTTACATTTCAGTGACAGGAGCAAATCGCATGCCGAAAAGTCGAAGATTACTGCTCCTCAAGGTATTCAGAAGACTCTACATTTTGTCAGCATGTTCACCTAGGAAGGAGGACTATACCGTCTGCATATTCCAAGTCAACGAGATTATTCCCTGGTGGTAATAAATCGAACTATGAGTCGCTGAAGTCAGTTAGGTTACAGTACTCCAGTAGAGGTCTTCCAATTCTCCTCTAACCAATGTCAGCTCAGATGAAATATCCTGTAACTAAATAATTATATTGTGAGCATAAAGACGTATGACGGCAACTGAATTTTTAAGACAAATACAAAGAACGGAACACCGAAGGAGAGAGAGACTCATTGGAGAGGACATCGACGATGAACAACACCAAAAACAACTTAGATAGATTCCTAAATTAAAAGCAAATCTGTAGGTCATGTATGCGTATCACGAAGCATATCACAGAAATATGCTGAAGAACGAAAGCCGAAAAAAACTAAGAAGCCTACGACATTAAAAGTAAATACAAAAAGCGCAGCAGTATCACTTACCTAGAAAGTCGTGAAGGAAATCCTGAACCACCAAAAGGACGTCTCCTGTAAAACATCAAATTGGAGAGAACAAAAAACCAAAAAATATTCAGTAATATACTACTTCACCTCCTAAAACAAACAACCAAGTAATATCTTATTTGTGTGTATATACATATTCAGTTGGCATAGACAACAAGTTAATATTTACCAAACAAAATATTGTCTACAGACAACAATTGACTATTGATTTGTCATTTTATAAGAGAACATTCATTCAACAAAATGTAAGTCTAGTTATTGATTATTAATTATTGTTTAACTTACATGCCACCACCTCGTGGCTCATCAAAAGCCGGTGCAGCGCTAACTGCAGCATTTGGACCTCTAGATAAACGTTTAAAAAACAAAAAGTAAACAATTTAATTACAGGATCACGTCATGAGCTGACAATGGTTATAGAAAAATGGGAAAACCTGTACTGGAGTACTGGACAGTTGTTTCGTCAGCCTAGTTTGAGTCCCTTCAACCCCCCCTGCCAGGGTTCAAACTTACCACCTTCCAGTTACAAGGAGAGCTAGCTCGTAAAGACCATTCAACTACTGGGACTCGATGATCCAGTGGTCAGTCCCATGAATCCTAACTTTTGACAATTCACAATAAACCGTGGATGGCATCAGACAGTGTCATTTGTCCTCACAACCGACCTGCTCTGCATCCAAGTGGGGTCATAGATGATAATCTTTGCTACTAACGCACTTATAAGATCACAGATATCACTGAAGATATTACATATAGAAGACTGACTTCCCTGTTATTCTGCATTACAGTAGAACTACGGCCCCCTCAGTTGAAACACTCGACTACCAACGGCTGAGTGTGGTGGTGGTACCGAGGGGGGGGGTTGAGCCCAACCACCACTTCCCAAACCACGATTTTGGATAGGTGGCGTCTGTGGTATCACTAACCCTAAGACACAATATACGTGGCTCATCATCTCCCTTGTTATTATCACTATCGCTACTGTTATTTATAACAATAATAATGATAATAATAAAAGTGATAATAATAATATTAATGACAACACCAACAGTAAGGAATCTAAATTATCAGTTGTAATTCCATACAAAGAAGGAACCTCGGAAACCTTACGCAGAATTCTTAACAAGGCGGGCAGGAATAAAAGTGGCTGGCATTCAAACCATCCACAAACTCAATTGGAAACAAGCTTTGTCGGCTACAGGATCAGTCCTGTGGAGCTTTTAAAACAAAACAATTCAGTTTATCTGATACCCTGTCTGCAATGATTGTCAGGTCAAATACATAGGTCAAAGTAGTAGAACAGGGGCAGTCAGACTAGCTGAACATAAAAACTTAGCAAAATCTAGATTGGTTGACCCGAATAAAATAAGAAATCTAGAAAATAGTTCAACTATAGCACTACATGCAGTCACACACAACCATACAATAGAATGGCATAGGGTGACAGTTATAAAATCTAATGTAACAGGATGAATGGAGGGAGAGATTGATGACGGAAGCTTTGTTTATCGAATCAACTGAGGGAGAGAGTACATGTAATAGGAATGATTCAACACTTGTCCAGTCGGATATCTGGAAAATTCTACTACCCCAACGACGACAAATAGGAGAAGACAAAGAAAACTATAAAAGTCAAGTTTCGAAGTCGTGTGATTACAATTGATATGATTATGAAAAATAAATTGTGTTCGGAACGTCATCCAGTAAACACTAATACTGTTTCTGTGACTGTGTGATATATCTAATAGACAAACTAATATGCAAAAGAAAGTTGTTAATGCTAAGTTCAAATAATATTTACAAAATATTTATATAATATTTACAAAACAAAAACCCAACAACCTTTAACTAACTAACTAACCACTACACTTACTCTCTACGCCATGGTAGGGAACTAGCACTATTGTCTGTATCTGGACCCTTGAACCTGCACAAAGTGAAATGATGAAAATAAGAAAAAACAAGATGGCGTCAGAAACAAACAGACAGATATGTACACACAGCAAAGATCATGTAACACTTATATCATATGAGATGAATTGATTTTTTCCTTTTGAAATAGTATAATCTCTTCTGTTACACTTATCATGCATACACAAAACTGTCAAGGTTTCATATAATTGATGCGTATGTAAAACGTCATTAAGGATTCTTACATCCATAGATTAAGAAAAATATTAATAATAATGATAACAATAACAGTATCACGTGCAACACTTTCTCAACATCAGAAATATGAAAAACACACGACAATATCAATGAAATTGTAGTCTGTGGTGAGTGCTACTTATATTGTCAGATTTAAGTAGTATATATCAGTAAACGAATTCCCAAAAAAAATAATAACAATATTTTTTGGGTTACTGGAACAAAAAGCAATCGAAGAAGAAGAAGAGAACTGTGAGAAGAATGTTAGAACCACTGTCCAGAATTTCCCAACAAGCTATAGAATGTGGTGGTTGATATTTGACAAATTTGCAAATGATGTGAAAATAGAGACTTAAAGATAAGGTGTACCAAATTTATGTACCAAGAATGAGTTTGTCCTGATGAGCATTGCCTTCGAGTCTCACCGGTGGACACTGTCTGTCTGTCTGTTTTCGACATAGAACTTTGCACATATGTGCGGCAGTTCAAGTCGCCACACTCCCTCTTTGTAGCACACAAAGCAAGAGAAGAAAGTAGGAGAAATGCATAATATAGACAGTAAACAGAGGTGTGAGACAAAGGAATAGTAATAACGAAGATCAATATATTGTCATTGGAAATCATAAGTCACAAGGAGTGGATGCATCCGCGCCAGCCATTGGGAACGATTTTGAGCCATTTCACCAATTGTTTCCAGCCATTGGTTTTTACCGTCCCGAGGACCCCAACCAGGAAGTCTACACCTTCCTACGTGGCCTAGACTAACTGTTGCAGATTTCATTGACTGGTGCCATGTTTTCGTCTGGTCGCCGCTAGCTCTTTTCCAGCCTGACCCTATATCAGCTACCATTGCCCACTGTCGAGGAAGGTAGGTGATGACTAAGCATACGTAACACATGTCCAAACCATCTCAGTCGATGGGTGGACACTGTGGTGGAATGTAATTCCATATTAGATAGGTTTATTTTAAATATCACACACAGTGATGATGCAGTATTAACAACAACTAGATGACAAGGTTACCAGCACAATTTATTGCGCATAGTGATAATAAATTTTAGTCACACGGTTTCACAGTTTGTCTTATATTTATTTTATTTTGATTTATAGCTTGATTCCACACCGTCTTTTCAGTACAAGTATGGAATTTTCAGCATGGATATCGGTAGCCCAAATTCAGGCCGACCATAGATATCGGGTGTGCGCCGGCAGGGGATCGAACCCCGGACCATGTAGCATGGTCGGCGAGAGTCCTAATCACTGTGCCACCGACGCATCAAAAAAGAGGAGGCGGTCCCCACGCGCGGACCGGGCTGTCACATGGCCACCATTCACAGGCGCTATCCCGCTACCGCACCACGCGGGGACTTTTGCCTGCTGGGTTTCCCCCCTGGGCCGGTGCGCCCCTCCTTAGTCGACCTGGACAACCCGCCCTCCGACAGGTCATCCATATCGGCGCCGTGCTTAGCGTGGACGCCCGATCAACATGGGCACCCATATGCCAGAACTCCCGGTCCCGCGAAATTCCGCACCCTGGCCTCCAAGTAGCTAGATTACAAGCGCACGCCACCACGCCCAGCCATTATATAGATTTTCTCACTCTTCCCCTTGTTGCTTGCTGCCACTTTCAATATCTTCTGCATAGGCGTTGCGTCATTTAGATTGCATGTGCGCGGTGTTGGATCGATAAACAAAGCTTCAGTGATTAACCCATCTGTTTCTCTCCACCTAACTATATCACTTTTTAATACTCTCAACCTGTCCCACCCCTTATCATTGTGTGATTACATACAAGTGAATGCAATGCAACGACTGAGCTTTTTTCAAGGTTATTTAACTTACCAGGGTCGATTATTCTAGATCTAGCTAAATTTTTATTTCCCAATAATCAAGTTGACACCGATCTACTAGTTTGATCTACGTAGTTGACCTCACTCACAGTTATTACATGGAGTATTTGGTAAATTATACAACTCTTCTTAATTGGATCTATTGGGTCCTCAAAAGCCAATAAAGGTTTATCTTTGAGTGAGTTTATCAGTTGGTTTAAATGTCACCCTAACTAATCCCAACCTCATTGAGAATCCTACGTCAGGCCTCTGACTTTCCTTTTGTTGCTATGATCATGTATCATATATAATAAATGTTAAGACGGACAAATCACTTTGTTATTCACATGAAGTCGTGATTTATGCATGTACGGCGATGATAATCTTACCGGAAAGTTTTGATTCGTTGGTTAATGGCTTAATTTTCTGAGGGATTTAGTAAATATATAATATACCACTTTGTATTTTCTCTAATAAAGGCTGTCGTTCCGGTCGATGTTTTTCCTAATCTCCGTGGAGGTTAGGGGTTCCAGTGACCAACTGGTTATAGTATCGTGTTCTGGAAGCGCATTGTAGTCAAGGTGTACGAACTCACAATTCAATATCACACTCCGTCAGCTTGAGAGTGATATTGCTCAAAAAAGGAACTCTCTGCAACGCAAGCCTTTTCTTCTAAAAAATGAAAAGTTCACACTACTACAGTATTCCGGATTGAAATTTTTTAAAGATCCCAAAAACAGGGGAACTATCGGTAAGCGGAAATGCTAAATAATCCATAATCGTAAAGCATTCCAGGAACGATATATTGTATGTTTAATAACGTCACCATCTTGATCTTGCGTAAACATGCATCATTAGACTTCTACAAGCTTACATCAAACGGAGTGCTACATATCATTATTACTATTTCTTTGGATCTCGAGTGAATTACACGGCTTCAGTAGCGACATCATCACTTCACTGTAATATCAGTTATCTTATCTCAATTGGCTCCACGATCGTCAACAAGCTGTCAATCTCTCTACAGTCAATTTCAACAGTACCACCCAACAGATCAATTACATGATGTTACATCAACAAAACCAGAAGATTGGTTACAGGATTTCATCATGAGGTGACATTGGTTAGAGAACCATTGGAAAACCTGGGAGTACTACTGGACAGCTGTTTCGTCCTAGATTGTGACTCTCCATCAGTACGCACCCCCTGGGGCACGAACCCCGGACCTTCTGGCTACAAGGCTAGCGAGCTCGTAGACCATTAAGCCACTGGGATCCGATCCAATGGCCCATGAATTCTAACTTCTGCCAATTCACGACATAGCGCAACCGCTAGCCAGTGTCTTCAGCGAATATTTGTCCTCACATCCGACCTGCTGCACCCTACTGTTCATGACTTCCCACTAGAATCGTAGGTAACGAGACGAGTCTACTATAGAAGTGATAGGAATGGGAATGTCACTCGGTGATCAAAAGTCAGATCAAGTGGAATAGCCTCGAAAAATGTACAGCTGGGAATAAAATCCTGTCGTTGTTGTTGTTGAATAGGAAGGAGATCAAATTTAGTGCATCCAAAGAGATAATCAATGATTCAATCAATTAAAATACTCATGTTTACATTGATTGAGTAAGTACAACACTTTGATGGTAATTTTTTGTTTTTAAATAGGAAGGAAATTAACCCCCCCCCCCACACACACACACGCAGACACACAAATTGATATTTGATCACTTACCCACGATTAAATCCACCACCCATGGTACCTCCACCTCTGCCAAATGGTCGTGGACGTTCACTTTCTGAAACAGAAGATGCAATTGAAGATGAAATTAGCACTGAAAATAGCTATCCAGAAAAGTTCATCAGACAACACATGACCAAGAAAGCATAAAAAGGACTATTCTCTATTTGTAAATAAGAAGCCTTACAGCTGCAGTTCAAGGATAATGTACCGAGTGAAATAATTACTAAAAGGTCGAGAAAATCTATTCAAAGAACTTTTAATGCCGGTAAACTACAAGTCATATGTTCTACACCACGACCGGTTGTGATTCCTCAATTGAAGAAAGATGAAGTACCTAGACAGACTAGCCACCTTCAATTGTATCTACCGATTCAAGTGACCTTGTGGAGCGAGTTATGTTGGCCATGTTGATCTAGGAACTTGATTTTTTTTCATGCTCTCTAGGGAACACCTATCAGTGTGGCTAAGCAGAGGTGTAGTGAAAACAATCATCAACAAACATTTCGATATTAGACCAACTGGTTCAAACAGACCAGACCACAAAAGCTAGTTGGCATTGAAGAACCCTTCTTTCTATGATCTATCGGCTACCATATAAATTGCCAAAAGCATCCAGGTAGGTAGCGACCGAATACTTCAAACGGCAGAGGCTACTGCGATTCGTCTAAAACAACTGGTGCTCTGTGAGCAGAAGAAGAAACCGGTTCAAACACTACTACTACTACTGCCCTGGTCATCCTGTGGAGCCTATAAATTCATGAACAAGACATATAAGCGAACAATATTGTCTTCAATTAGATCTTCTTCAGTCCAATTGAGCAGAAGACAGAACAGATGGTTCACTCAAAAGAGATGTCTATAGAAAACCTACATCTGTAGGATAATATACACATTTCCTCAGTTTTGTACCAATCCGATATAAAATCAATTTGGTCAGATGCCTCACGAAGAGAGCAAGACGTATCTGTACAGATGACTTCCTAGAAAATGAGCTAGGATATATCCAAAATACGCTGGTCCAAATGGGTTATCCTAGTAGATTTGTAAGGAGACACATGAATACCAGGTACAATAAAAAAAAACTGACAAAAGTTAAAAAGAAACAACTGTTCATGAAACTGCAATTTAGTGGGGAAGTGGGTAGCAAAGTCTTACATCTGAGATTATCGAGAGCGATAAAACGGACTTATACTGCCGCCATCCTTTGTTTGTCACTTTCCAGCCGACCAATTTGGATTGCTCTAGTGAAAGACAAGCTACCTAGCTGTGCTACTTCGATGTATGTATCTATAAATTTAGTTGCTCCTGTGGAGAAAGCTATATAAGGCGAATAACTAGAGAGCTCAACAAACGCATTAATGAACATCTTCCTTCATGGTTCGGAAAAGGTCAAATAAAATCTATACGAAGTTCTATTTTGGCTCATTTGATTGATAGCGGTCACCAAGTGGACAAAAATAGTGCTTTGAAAGTTATCTATCGTATTCTATCAAGTCTTTCAAACGGAATCAGAACCCGTTTTTTACACCTAGCTGAAGTTATGGGAATTCGAGAGAACAATCCTAGTTTTCGCATACAAAAGAAGTTTGTTCTACCTTTGTCTCTCCCTTGGCCTAGGTGAATTCTAATCAAAACCCTCCCACCCTTTCTTATTTTCCACCTCCTTCGTACTTTTATAATATTTATTTAAAGTCTGATTATCGTTCCACTTCACCTTTTAAGATTTGACCTAATTTATTTATTTATTGAATTGTCTACATGTACACTTATATACATATACTATCTTTGTTATTCTTATCACCTGCATAAACCTTATTATCAATATTTTGTTGTCATTATAATCATCGTTATTAACTACGTTCAAAACATTTACCACATTATTATGATTATTATTAAGATTTTTATTTGATTCCCAAAATCACCATCATTGGTTAAAAATTTTATATATAAAGAACTATGTAAATTAGAGTAAAGCCTGAAGAAGATCTAATTGAAAACACCAATATTGTTCGCTTATATGCGTCTTGTTCTAATTTATTAAAATAGGGAATATTCAAACATTTTCCAAATTTGTCCGATATTCAGTGTAGTGTTATGTTATGTTGATGCATATTTATTATCACGCTTACAGATGCTGCTGTTGTTAATAACTCTAATTCTTCTACGAGTTGATCACGGACTGATATCAGTTTGAGAACCATTGAAAACCAGCAAGGAGTACTGGACAGCTGCTGTTTCATCCTAGTTTGGGAATCATCGGCAGTACGCACCCACTGGGATTCGAACTCAGGACCTTCCGGTTACAAGGCAAGCTCGTATACCATTCAGCCACTGGGACCTGATTCAATGGCCAGTGCATGAATTCTAACTTCTACCAATTCGTGATTTTAGCGCGACCCCAACCATTGTCGTTGGTGGGACATCCATCCACACACGTGGCATCTAATTGGACCTCACTGGTCACGACTTCTCACTAGAACTGACTCCAGGAAACTCATCCTGTAGCAAGTCACTAGCGAGCATCAGAATAATTTTCTATAGTTTTGGTTTGTAAGGATTAGTTATGTTTCACGAGTTGATCACGGACTGATCATCTTTCATCATTCTTATGAATATAGAACTGTAGAACCTGATGAAGAAGGCGTTATCGAAAAGAGTATTCTTTGTTCAATAATCAGTCTTTTGGTATTTCCTAGCTCCCTTTCCAGATAACTGAGTGTTTATCATATTGGCATGTAATTGAAAGTTAATCCATTATAATTTTAATTTTTAATCTCTAATGCCAGCTTCCATCTCTCTTTATCTATCTGAACATGACCGGGAAAACATTTACGCCAGTCTTGATGATATTAGATATTAAACGGAGGCAATCTGCCACAGGAAACCCTACCTGACCTAGATTTTGTGCCAGTTGGCACGAAACCTTAATTTAATGTTATTTTAATTAATTTTATTATAGCTTGACTCCACACAGTATTTTTGATACATGTATAGAATTTTTAGCAAGTGATATCGGTAGCCCAAATTTAGCAGACCGACCATGGATATCGGGTTCGCGTCGGCCGGGGATCGAACCCCGGACTATGTGCATGGTCGGCGAGCGTACTAACCACTGTGCCACCGACGCACTCATGCCCCTTCTCAGATTCGAGCCCGCCCTGATGACTATTGGCAACTAGCACGAAACCTAGGACACGTAGGGGGCTTCCTGTGGCCGACTGCCTCCATTTAATATCTAATATCATCAAATCAGTGTGTGCACCATGATGGCGAGCCACATAGTGGAATGCTGACCACATAGCAAACTTGGCTGACTGATAGAATTCAGTTTGCACAAAAGAAAGGACTAGACTAGACTAGACATACATCACACTAGTTACTGACTAGTGTCCAGTCAAAGTATTTACGCCTGTCGGTTTGCATGATTGATTGATTCAATGCAGTTTATTCTCTAATCAGTCACATATTTCAAAATGTGTGTAGAGTATTCAGCTGAAGAGTTCTACCGAAATTTGACACATTCGTTAAACTCTGCTTTCTACTAACATTTGTTGCTTATTTTAAATTTGTATCGGGAAAAATGTGTCTTCAAAATCAATTTGATGAGGTGATTTTCAACGAAGTCCATGTACTGAGATGTATTTCAGCTATTGTTATTATGGAGCATAGTCAAAACGAAAAAAAGCAACAGCGACAAGTAATGAGCTAACCTCTACGAGATCCAACATGAGTCCAACCGCCACCGCCCCCACTAGTATCCTCATCATGCATAGCAGCTTCAAATTCTGTAGGCATCGCTAGAAAAAAAAATAGAACAAAAAGACAAGAACGGTAAAACACATGGATATATATATCATATACATTTATTCCCCTTGATGTATTTGAATAAAGCAAGAACAACAACAGTGGTTTGTGCAGGATTATATGGTAATAATCATTTATTCTATCGACTTCTTATCAACTGCTTACAGCCTAAAGACATTGATTATTAACTTTATGTACAGAAAAGTTTTAACACACTTGCGAATGTTAGACATGATAGCAGTTGATAGGTGGCTCCACACTTTAGTGAACAATGCTCAGAAAACTACACGTACATATAGTTTATACCCATGGGGGGGTGGTTCAAGTTTCAACAAAAACCAGTATATGCATACAATGGTAAAGGAGTTACATCATAATAAGGGCAAGAGGTCCGTAAGATGATGAGTAACTAATAAATTGGGTGATAGTGTACTGAGTTCAACTCAAATCATAGAAACACGAGACAAGCAAAATTACACTATATCAGTGGGGGGAGGTTACACCAAAGATTACGTAATCAAATGAAAGAGACAATAAACACATCCAGTTACCAGGGTAAGGAAAAACTTATAACGGCTTTTTTCTGAACACATAAATCGGGTTTCAGGCGTTAGATAGAGATTGCTTCGAGACACTTGAGGAGAATTGGACTTTTTTGTCTATTGATAATTTTAAACGATTTTGTGATTTCCACCTCATAACCCGTCTCAAGGAGACGCCTGGTAATGGCACTATTGTAAGCATTTGTTCCCTTGAGGCATAGGCTTTTCGGTACATGTTTAGAAAACCGGAGCTCTGCCCTTTTCTCTGTTCTTCCAATGTAACTCCTCCAGCAGAAACACGTCGGTTTTTATACACAGTTGGAATTAACAAGAAAAGGATTTCAGTCGACTTTTGATTGCACCAAAGAGCATGGTATCTGATAGATGCGATCCAACTTAGCTGCAAGATACGCTCTGGTTAGTGACGTATTCAACCTTCTATTGATCATTCCTGCAATATTATCCCAATTAAAATCTATTTGAATGAAAATAGGCTATTTTTCCCGCTGTGATTTGTTTGACATTCGAAGCTTCACATCCGCCGTATTTGTTAATGAATCTCTGAGCTCAACCTTTATTTCTCAACATCTTTTCGAGAGTCAGAAATTCTTCCTTTAATTTCTCTGTTGTATAAAGCATATTCTCCTAGCTCTATAGAACAAAGTCTTGGCTAGTGCTGGTTTATAGCTATTCGGACAAAAACTATTAAAATGTAGGCATTGTCCATTCCATGTAAGCGGCTTCCAGTAAATTGATCTATGGGGACTACCATCTTCCAGGAGTTGAATGCCGATGTCAAGGAAATGGATATATATTCAGAAAAATGTTATGTTATATAATAGCAGCTCTATATTATAGGCTCAAGGAAAAGTTAAAATACCTTTAGTCCCATTAACCTCAAAATTTTATTTACAACTTCTTGAGTTATTATTGGTATGTTGATTTTTCAGATTTTAAGACGAAGCGTTTAAACTAGAAAGTGATAGCAGCGTATTTCTCCCCACCCTCCAGAAAATTGAAACCGTACCCATGTAATCAGATATAAGGTTAGCGCGATTAACAAGTATTTAAGGTTTTAACGAAATATATACATGTGTTAGTATTCTTCTTTACTCTTCGCGTTCCATGAGGAGCATAGAGCATCAGAGGCACACCCTTATTGCACTTGGATCTCTGCCATCATTTTCAAGCGGCTGTGCAACTACCCACAAGCTTTTATCTCCTCCTAACATCATTTCTACGTAACGCTTGTATGCTCAACTCACCACTCTGCATTGGGCTTTAACTTGGTAGTCTGTTCTTCGATTTCAGTAGAAGTTCTGCTCAGCAAATACCCAGTCTCCCTCCATTTCCTTCAGCACGTTTACTAGGCAATAGCCTCTGGGCTGATTCGCTGTCAGAGTACCTTCTAGTTGGCTTATCCTGACTGGTCAGCCATCTGATTTTCACTGTCAAGACCGAGAAGGTAGCTGCTAACGAAAGACTGCTGCCTGCTGCACACCATATAGAACCATTTAGTTCACATTAGTGAAACCAACTAAGGTCATGTTTCTTATGTTAATCGCCGTAGATCTCGACTATCAAAATCATTTGCACCATGAGGAAGACCCTAGAAGATCTGGATTTAGCAGACGATATATGTCTAATGTCACACAAACTCAAGGACCTGCAAGTGAAAACCAACAAACTGGCTGAAGAGGCTGGCAGATAAGATAGGACTCCAGGTGAACACAGAGAAGACGGAGGTGATGAAGATAACCAACCAATCAACAGCAACAACAACTAGTACCAATCAGCATCAACGGGAGAGATTTAACACAAGTTGCCTCCTTCACTTATCTGGAAAGCTTCGTTTCAACAATAGGTAGCCGGAACGGACGCACTCAGCCAGCATAAAGAACAAGATTCGGATTTTCAACACCAATGTCAAGTCAGTTACTGTCCCTATACGGGTCAGAAACTTGGCCGACGTGTCACGAAAAGGATTTTCAACAGTAAGTGGCAGACTTTCATCAACAGCTGCCACCTTCATTGGTTGGTTTCATATTGAAGATCAAATGGCTGGCCAGAAAGAATTAGCAATAAGAAACTCTGGCTGTGAACTAACCAACTAAGAGCCGATCACTCCACAAATATGCAGGAGAAAATGGAGATGGATCGGGCATACATTGAGGAGGCCGTCAAATGACAGGCTATCGCTCGAGTGAAATTAAAACGGGAAGCGACGAGTGGGTCATTCTAGGATGAAATGGTGGTGGTCGTGTGAGGAAGAGATAGGAGATTGTGGGCAATCGTGGTCCAAGCTGAAGAGGATGGCAGAAGATAGCACAAAGTGAAGATGTGTTGTTGAAGTCCTATATTCCACACTCGGAACGCAAGGGAATAATAATAATCAGGATGTGGAGGAGTATTCACAAAACTAACCAAATGTGTGTATCTCTTATCCGGAAGAGATTTCTAATGTACTCAAATTCTCTGAGCGCTCAAGATCGTATTGAATTGTAATTCTATGCGGTTATTAATAGAGCAAAACATACTGTCTGAGTGTGAGGGTTAGTGATATTATCATCCAGTTGTTCAAAACCACAGCAAATGGAGATGACAGTCGAGTACCTAGGCTAATCATCAGCCACAGATCCACAGGGGTTTGATTGAGTCCCCCTTCTCACGCAACGGTAGAATATTTCCAAATTGACAAAGCAAAACATACACGACACAATTTTCATTACAGAGTGATTAGTTTACCAAAATATTGATAAATCACCATAAAATGACGAAATATGACATCGCCAACAGATTAGAAGAAATGTAAAGATTAAAATGCAAAAACAAGTAGGGCGACAACTTACTTCTTCGTGCTCCACCACCACCTCGAAAGAATTGATCCCCACCACGACTGCCGAAATCATTTGCACCGCCACGTTGCGGAGGAGTGTTTTCAAAACCAACTGAATTTGAGTGTGTATGTGTGTGTGTGAGCGCGCACACACAAGGATAGAAAATAAAAGCAGAAGCATTAATTCACCATAAACAATGTGGTTACAATGCAATACAATGCACGTATGCAAAACATACATATACAATATATACATGAATATTTTTTCCTAATAACTTGAAATGGAAGATTTCAGCATACCTCGTTTATTTCCTCTTGACCAGCCGAAGTCTGGTTTAGGAGCATCATCTCTTCGGAAGTCTGAAATGAGTAAAAACAAATCAATCAATATATAACGAGCCAAAACTGAAAGAGATTGTTGTTTAGAAATCGAATACACTGAAAGAATTTCAGTTCTCCGGAACAAATATCTCATACATTAGACTAGGAGTCACATCTGTTATGTCAGGGGAAGTACTGATGCTATCAAGGTCGCCCAAACTGAAGTAAATGGTGACGGGTTCGAACCCGTGATGAGTAATCTAGCCAATAACTCAAATCTCAATACACTGGAACACAAAGAATTCAAGAGTAATTCAGCAGAATGACGGCGCCCAGTGAAAATAAGCGGTGAGCCTAGAAACTTCACACCACCAGGATTCCTTGATATTAATGTTAGCAGTAAGAACTGTCAATCAAAAGATTCAAATATCTGAAAGTTGACTAATTTAGACACACTAAATAAGTGGACATGAGCGGGCAACTGTACACAGTCAAGTCCGGTACTACCGCCATAGACTACTGAATGATAGACATAAGTAGTTGGACCCACCCATACGAAACAGCCAACATGTTTGCCGACCAGAACGAAGTGATTTAAACAGCGGGTGACTGTTTCAATCGTTCAGGGCCAAGCTCCTCAGCCGTAGACCCTGTTCGACTCAGCATGCAGAGCCAAATCTGCAGAGGCGTGATATCCGGCTATCTACCAAAAGGCCTGTGTACTGCTCAGCATTCCGCTCCGTCCTCCTTTATGGTTGTGAAACATGCCAATTGAGAGTGGAAGACATGAAAACCCTAGCTAGGAAGCTGTCTTTGATCACAGGTGCATACGTTCTATCTCCTGTGTGAATTGGTGGTATGATAGAGTGAGCAATATTAGGTGGATTAGGTTGGAAAAGAGCTAGTGGTGGTCAAACCAAAACATGGCACCAGTCAATGAAATCAACAACAGTTAGTTTAAGCCAGCCAGCCAGGTAGGAAGGCGAAGACTTTCTAGTAGGGTCCTCGGGAAGGTAAACACCAATGAAGGCTGGAAACAATTGGTGATATGGCTCAAAATTGTTCTCAATGTCTGGTGCAGATGCACCTACTCCTTGTGACTTATAATTTCCAATGAAACTGTTTTGTTCTTCGTTATTACTATACCTTTGTCTCACACCTCTGTTTACTGTCTATATTATGCATTTCTCCTACTTTCTTCTCTTCCTTTGTGTGCTACAAGGAGTGGAGTGTGGCGACTTGAGCTTCTGCACATCGGTGCAAAGCTCTATGTCGAAACAAGACAGACAGACAGACCATAGACTATTGATGCATCGAATAATTAGTTGTACACCACTCATATCAACCAGCGAAGGTGTTTGCTAACCAGAACGAAGTGATTTAAACAGCGAACGGTTGTTTCACTCGTTCAGGGCTAAGCTGCTCAGCCGTGGACCCGATTCGACTGAACATGCAGAGCCAAATCTGCTCAGCTAACTGCCAATTTGTTTTGGTACAGGTTCGTGCAGAGCTAAGACTACAAACCGAAGTGTGACATCCATAAAAGCTTATCTAGTTCTAAACAGTAAAAGTATATTTAAAAATTAAACCAACTGTATATAAAGTCAGGTGTCTAACTCAATCAAAAAATATCTCTTCAGTACACTAGTGTTTATGAACACTTACCACGATTAACGGTAACTTCTGCTGCACGTGTACGACCGAAATCAGCACCAGCTATAGGAGGTTCATCTAAAACAAAAAGAAATTTTAGAAACATATTTATGATTTTTTTATCACCACTAACATTCATTCAACTACAAAGACTAAATAAAACCACAATTAAACACACACCAATATTTTTTTCCTTCAAATGGCATCATCACCATCAATTATTAAGCTGACTGAAATCTTCTGAAAAAAAACCAGCCTCATGCACACATATAAACTCGGCTTCTGATGTGATAACACTAGATAGTACAACTTTTCTTTCATTATTTGTCATCAAAAAGATATTTTATCATGAAGTTTGGATCACGTATGGATCCTGTACAATAATCTTGTATCTTCCCTATTATGATCTGTAAGAAAAACGTTTTGCTGGCTGCTTGAAAACGATACACCACTACTCAACCAACAGTGACTAATACATAACAGCAGCAGTTACTTTTTGAAACCCCACCGATAATCAACTCAAACAAATGATGAAGGACAGAGTTGTCGAGTAAGCTTGCAAACGTGAAAACACACAGGCACTAAAGATTGTGCTGAAACTTTCCCACAATGAAAGCGAATGACCGAGTGACTGATTTCCAGCAGAGAACTTTGCATAGAAGTGTAGCTGTATTTTAAGTTGCCGCACTCCATTTAACACACGAAAGGAGAGAAAAGAAGGGAAACTAGAGATTCAAAAGGATTAGGATAGGCGAAAATCTCTGTGTGTATGTGTGTAAGAGACAGAGAGAGAGAGAGAGAAATAATAGCAGCATGCGGAAACGTCAGGGAGATCAAAAGGAATGAATCCATCTAAACCATCTCTCAAACAGTCTTTAGTCATTGGTTCTTAACATCTTGAAGACCCCCAACCAGGCAGTCTACTACACCGCCGACAGTTCAAAGTCAACCGTCTAAGAATTCATGGATTGATTGCAGATTTTTAATTCGGCCACCACTAACTCTTTTTTCTAACCTAATCCTAGGTCAGTTAACACTCCTCAAGGAAGACGGCGATTACTCTGCATGAGTGCATCACAAGTCCTGGTCATCGCAATCAGTGTACACATGTGATTTCCCTTCTCTATCTAATAAACGCATATTCGACAAACGTTGGCTTTTTCATGTAGTAAACAACGAGCTACAAATATTGAGTGACAGTTACCAATACTACATGACTGATAGAATTCAGTCTGCACCGAAGATAGGACTAGACACATTACGCTAGTTACTGACTAGTGTTCAATCAAAAATATCCAATACAGTCCTACAGGAGGTCAATCGCGAGCCTGAATAGCTCAGTGGTAACATCTCTGACCGCAGAACTCACTGGGTGACGCGGGATCGAATCTCAGAAGGGACATGAGTTCCTTCAAGGTTGCAGATACGCCTTGCTGATGAGTGCCAGCTAGCACGAAACCTAGGTTCAAGGCTCCCTGCCGATTGCCTCCAACCATCTAATACTACCAATACCACTTTACTCCTTCAATCTTCAGTACCACCAAAAAACTTCCAATCCCTGACTAATTTGGTTGAGAGTCACAGTTTTTCTACCGCCGAAAGTTATTTCTGAAACGCCGGCCAGAACAAATTCTCGCAGTATCTTTTTTCACTTTGAAGTTCGAATGGTATACAAAAAAACAAAAACAATTTGGTCACATGAAATTGCAATGTAAAAAAAACACTCACCTTTTTTAACTTCACCACGTATCCAAGATTTAGATTCTTCCTCACGACGAGCAGCCTCACGTTCTGCTGCTTCTTTAGCTTCTGTTAATAAAAAAACAAGTGATAAAACACGATTGAGAACCTCGATGAATGTATATATGTATGGTTCAAATACCAAAGTTCACTGTAGTCAATATAATAGAAATGATTAATTCTCATGAATTTCTTTGTAGGGCTTTGATTTCGTTTCAAATTTGATCCACGGAATGATATCAGTTAGCGAACCACCGAAAACCAGGCTGTACTGGTCGAGAGTGGGGCAAATACTCACCACACAGATGACACTGACTGGTGCCAGTCGCATTAAAATTATGAATTGGTAGAAGATAGAATTCATGAGTTGGCCATTATTGAGTCGGGTCCCACTGGCTGAATGGTCTATGAGTCAGCTTACCTTCTAGCCAGGTTCGAACCCCTGAGGCGAGTGCGTACTGACGAGGAGCTCTAAACTAGGAGGAAACAGCTGCCCGGTACTCCCTGATGGTTTTCAACAGTTCTCTAACTGATACCAATCTGTGACCAAACTTGAAACAAAGCAAGACTGCTTTCCGAGATCTGTCTGAATACAAAGAGGGACATCCGACGAAATCTCAGCACGAATACAGAGGGCTAGTTTCGCATATGCCAGTTTACGCCGTCTCTGGCGTAGACGCAATACCCGACTATCGACCAAAGGGCGTGTGTACTGCCCAACAGTCCACTCCGTCCTCCTTTATGGCTGTCACTGAGACCTGGCCATTGAGAGAAGAAGACATGAAAAGATTAGCTGTCTTTGATCATAAGTGTCTGCGTTCTATCTCCTGCGTGAAGTGGTATAATAAGGTGAGCAATATTGAGGTTAGGCGTCGAGTGCTAGGTAAGGCGGGGAAATCAGTCGACGAGACTGTAAAATTACATCGACTGAGATGGTCAGGACATGTGTTACGTATGCTGGCCTAGTCATCGCCTTCCTCGACGGGCAATGTTAGCTGATATAGGGCCAGGTTGGAAAAGAGGTGGCTAGCGGCGGTCAAACGAAAACATGGCACCAGTCAATGAAATCCACAACAGTTAGCTTAAGCCACGTAGGAAGGTGTAGACTTCCTGGCTGGGGTCCTCGGGATGGTAAAAACCAATGTTTGGAAACAATTGGTGACATGGCTCAAAATCGTTCTCAATGTCTGGCGCAGATGCATCCACTCCTTGTGACTTATGATTTCCAATGAAACTATATTATTCTTCGTTATTACTATTCCTTTGTCTCACACCTCTGTTTACTGTCTCTAATATGCATTTCTCCTACTTTCTTCTGTTGCTTTGTGTGCTACAAGGAGGGAGTGTGGCGACTTGAACTGCCGCATATATGTGCAAAGTTTTATGTCGAAAACCAACCGACCGACCGACCGACAAAGAGGGACAAATACATACACTGCTTAACACTGGAATTCTATACAATATGAGGATAATATTTAGAAATCTATAACAATATTTGCAGATCGCATATCCTGTGAACGTAGGGGATTAACTGCACTGTATAAAAACCAACTATAAGTGAGAGGGTGATTTTTGAAAATGTCATTTTGAAAAAAATGAACTGGCGCCAATTTACACCTTGACTGGAAAAACAAATTTCAAATAAACATGAAATACGCTAATCCAACAAGAATGTATGTAGTGAGAATCTGTAAATTGATATCAATGGATGGAATTCTATTCCCTTCTATCTTTGAAGGCTGTTTTCACAGTGATAAATAACGCTTTCCATTTGTTTTTGGCCTGCCTTATGAACAAGATCACACTCTCTAAATGAGAACATAAAATATTAGGGAATAAGTACCATTATGTGTCAGTGGATCAATGGTAGAATGCTCACTAATCACACATAGGAGACTAGGGTTCGACTCCCGATTGACGCACCTCTAAACCTTGCTTAGTCGGGTAGTAAGCCAATAAAAGATGGATAGATTACAGGATTTCATTATGAAGTGACAACGGTTAGAGAGAGAAGCCATTATGGAAATATACTCCACCTACACAGTGCACAAGTTTTATTCTTATATCAATGATACCTATGGTCTTCCTACTAGGAAGCTTATCAACAAACTCACACGACTTTGTCAAACAGAAGCAAGATTCACAAACCATCGAATTTTTAACAGTCAGTGTTTAAAAAATCATATAATTCCAAAATATTTACGCCTATATGTACTCCAATTATTTCAAGAAAAATAAAATCAGCAGGAGAACATGTCAGCAGATTATGTCTAAGAGAAGAACTACATCAAATTACTGTGAAACTAAATAATATACGAAGTGAAATCGAAAAACTGAAACAGAAACTCAAATATATCGTCAATGACAAAGATTATGCAATTGTTGTTGAAACATCCAAAAAAGCTAGAGAATCAGAATTCAGAAAATCAAAAATCATACAACTCAAAAATTTCAACAAACTAATGAAAGAAAAGAACACAAGAAATGAAGAAATTGACGCCAATGCTTCATCCTCTATTGACAGAACAAAATGGGTGATCAACCTCTCATCAAGGGAACTAAGCTCTAGTGAGATAAAAGTACTTGAGAAAGGACTAAATTCCAACGTAACAGTTAGTAAATTAAAACCAGAGGATATCATTCCTAACATAGAAGTAGCACCAGGTTCAATGGAGAGATAACCATTGGAAAACCTGCAGGGAGTTCTGGACAGCTGTTCCGTCCTTGTTTGAGACTCTTCAGCGACTGGTCCTATTCAGGTAGGTAGCTACCTGAGGTTCTAGTGGGAAGTTGTGACCAGTAGCGTACAGCAGGTTGGGCGTGATGACAAACACTCGCCACTGATGACATTGGCTAGTGGTCGCACTATGTTGTGGACTAGTAGAAGTTGGAATTCATGCACTGGCCATTGGATTGGCGTGTCCCAATGGATTAATGGTTTACGAGCTTGCTCCGTAACCGGAAGGTCTTGGATTCGAACCCCGGGTGGGGTACGTGCTGATGAAGAGTCCTAAACTAGGACAGCGGAAACAGCTGTTCAGTACTCACAAGTTTACCAATGGTTATCTAACAGATGTCAGCTCATGATGAAATCCTGTAATCAATCAATCAAATCCCTACAAAGCCAATACTTGAAAAGATGGATAGTTGGACGTGAGGCCAGAAACTTCACCCATTGAAGTAAAAACACCAACGTGTTACTGGAACTTCAATAAGCCTAGAGCTCTACGTTCCACTGGAGATGCAAGGAATGAGGGAAAACGTTGCCGCTAGGATATTCTATGAAAAAAGTGAGAATAAAATGATATCACGGTATCTATTCCACTAAGTTGTCTTCACTGTGGTCAATGGCTTTAAAAGGTTTAGAAGAAGAGTGGGAACTGTCATACTACAATAATCAAGTCATGATAACTAAGGTAAGAAAAGCATCTACTCCTGTGGAGCCAGTTACACTGGGCGTACAATCGCCGATTTTGTCGCCAGATTTCTAAACATCATTCTGCATGATTAAGCAAGCAACAAACAACATCTATTCGCAGCTCTATACTAGCTCATCTAGTAATTATTGGATGTAAAGTCGATCTTAAAAAAGCTTCTAAAGTTATATACCGTATTCCGAAATATGTTAATTTTACCGTATAAGTCCATCTCCAACATATGACTGACTGACTGGTTGCAACATAGAAATTTGCGCAAATGTGCACTAGTTCTACATGCCACTCTCCCCCCATGTAGCACACACAAAGCACGAGAAGACAGCAAAGACAGATTCAAAGAGAGAGAGAGAAATAATAAACAGAAGTGTGAGGGGAAAAGAATAATAAAATGGAAGAACAGTAGAATCTTATTGGATATTATACATCACAGAGTGAATGCATTTGCGCCAGCCATATTACCAACTATCTCCAGTCTTAGAATCCCGACGACCCAAAGCAGTCAGGCGGCTAGTCTACACCCCCTTCATGGCTGGCTGGCTTAAACTAACTGTTATTGATTTGATTGACTGATGAAGCCATGTTCTGGTTTGACTACCACTAGCTAGCTCTTTTCCAACCTGATCCATCTTATGTCAGATAACATTGCCCGTCGAGGAAGACGATCGATGGTTAGGCGCGAGTAGAACACGTCCTAACCATCTCGCTCAAGCTCATCGATTGATTATTCGCTCCTTACCTAGCACTCGACCGAAGTCTGACCTCAATATTACTCACCCAATATGAAAGATTTATTAAAGGAAATACTCCCATTGAACAAATTTCCATGTTAGTAGAGAAGACAAACAATTAGTTACAAGGTTATCCAAAAACCAATCTGAAATCATAAATTTGCAAACAACAGATTTAAATTTTGATAGCACAAAAAAAAGCTGTACCTTGTTCCCGTTTCAAACGTTCAGCTTCAGCGGCTAATTCACGTTGTTTCTGTGCTTCACGTTCCTTTGCCTCTTCAGCTGCACGGCGAAGTGCTTCAGCCTCAGCTTCCGCTTCTCGTTTCGCTTGTATCTCTGCCAGTCGTTTCGAACGAGTCTCATCGCATAAAGCCTCCCATTCGGCTAGCTTTTCCTTATAGCGTTTATCACGTGCCTCTTTCAGTTGACTGACAAGACGCTGTGAAACAAAAGATTTGAAAAAATTTATATATAAATAAGGGAAATTTGATGAAATCAATAATATTAATCAATAATAGCTTTATTGCAAACAATACTTTTGATACAATATGGAATTTCTCAACATATTGTGGTGGTCTGATACAGACAATAATGGGTTCCAACGGAATATTTTTCTCACAGTAAGAATCATTGCATTTGTTGGTGTTAACGTCTGAATACTATTCCCACAGTTCAATACTGCACTAGCAACAGAATACTATATATGTATTTGAACATTCTATTTCATGTCGTTTAATGTAAACCAAAATTACACGCTCAGTAATTGTTTAGAGAATATAAACTGTCTAGATATGAATACCTGTTTGATCACTTGAAAATATGTAACGACAGAAGACAAGGGCCGGGCAACAGATCGTCTATTGAGAAAATCAAGAGGTATTTATAGATTTTTATGTACATTATTGTCAACGGAGAAGCAACGTCTTCTGATTGGTTATTTTCCTGTTGAAGGTTATTCTGTACTGCTTGTGACCGTCATACCGATAGCTTTTAGTGCCTTTCACAGTGTAACAATGTCTTCCTTAAGTAGTCCAAGAAAGACTAAAGCGTGGGGGTTGGGTGGGGTGGGGCGGAGAAACAAGGAAGAATAGGTAGAATACAAGAATTAACAAACCGTAAAAGTAGAGACCGAATGACATGCGATTGCGTTGACTTCCTAACCTAGAACCCAAAACGAAATATCTTTCTATGACGCAAGTGGGGAGACTAAAAGCAGTATTTAACCTTCGACTTAGTTTCAACTTCAGTGCCATCTATGATACAAAAATCATGGAAACAACTTCAAGGACATGCAAGTCTTTTTCCCCGGGCTATATATATATATAGTTGCTTTGTTAATGAATATCAAACGGAATCGAACCCGTCGCATCGGACAAGCAAGCACCAACTCCTACGAAATAGGGGGGAATAACACTCCCATCAGTTCAAACTCACTTGGACTTAGGTGTAATGGTGAGTCACGATTTAAAAACTACAGCACACCGCGCGGTGGCTGCACGTAGTTTCAGATCTTTATGGACAATTCTCGGAGCCTTTTTACTAGAATCACCAGGGATATGTCCACCTCCTTATATACATCTCTGATGAGGTCAAGACTAGAAAACTGTATCCAGGCAGTCAGTCCTTGTCTTAAAGGGGACTCACACATTCTACAAAGGGTTCAAACGAAGGCAACACGTATGGTTCTCGGTATGACTAACTTATTATACAAGAAAAGACTAGACAGATTAAATCTCTTCTCCTTATCATACAGAGAGGAGATTTAATCACAATGTTTAAAATTTTAAATAATGACTACGGACCTGACCTATTCTCTCTTTTCCTTCCCACCAGGTCGGAACACCTTAGAGGACATAGCAGGGGAGTTCAAAAGCCAAGAAGAAATCATATTGCTGTTGAGTACTGGTTCTCACACCGAGTCATAAACTCCTGGAACCGACTTCCAGAAGAAGTGGTGTCTGCAACCTCAACTGATTATTCATTCAAGAAGGGTTTGGACAACCACAGAAATTTACTAGAAAAGGACTAACATAGGCTCCAAGCCGTCTATCCTCAACCAATAAATCTGAATCTAACCCAGATTTAAATCTTCTCTCAACTAGCTTTGCATAAGTTTGACATCAAAGGTAAAATCAAGAAGGAATTTAATTAAACGTGAGTATATATATAATACTAGTATTTAAGGTGATAATATTACAGGGATAATCAACAGGGGAGACTGAATACCTCACTTGCCAGAACCTATTCTGTGGCTAAGTCGGTTCCCGACTATCGGACACCATGCCATTTCGACAGATACCTTTCACATGTTAACTCTAACTGTGTGTACAAATTTACATATATCTGCAGTAGCAATTACACTGGGAGAACAGAAAGATGGGCACATTATCGATCTTCTGAATATGTATGGAAACGCTTACGTCTCAAGGCAGCAGATGCCTTTAATAGTGCTACTGTCACACATCTCATCGATACGCGTCATGAGGTGGAACACTCTGAAATCCTTTTAAACAGCTCAATTCTCCCCAAATCCGTTAGACGACCAATTACTACCAAACGTTTGAAACCCAACTTATATGTTTACAAAGAAACAGTTATCAGTCTTTCTTTGCCTTGGTAACTGGATGTCTTTGCTTTCTCTTTTTCACTTGATTACGTAATCTTTGGTTTTAACCCCTCTCTTGTCTTTGGTTTCTATGATTTGAGTTGAACTCATCCGACATTGTTATGCAACGTATTAGTTACTCATCAACTTATCCACCTCTTGTCTTTATTACACAACTCCTTTTCCGCTGTATTTAAACATTTATTCCCGTTTCAATATGAACCCCTCTCGAGTGTCTCTTTTCATAAATGACATCATGTCACGGTAACATTGTTCCGTATATAAACTCAATAATCTTGTTTTACAAAAAAAAATGCCTACCTGTACATCAGGTTTCATTCGAATTAACCGATTACGTTCTTTCAACTGACGTGCATGTTCTTCCTTTGAATGCTCTTCAATTTCTCTTGCACTTTGTTCAAATAATTCACGAGCTTGAATAGCCTCTGGTTCAATATTCGCTTGTAATAAGGGAATTTCTTCTAATCGACATGCACGTGTATAATAGTCCAATTTTTTAGCCATATTTTTAGCTTTTTCAGCAAGTTCTTTACGCTTTTTCTTAACTTCTTGTTTCTGAAAAGATAAAATAGTAAAAATGTAAAAAATTAAAGATAAATTATGAGTGTAGGCCCATATATCAGAAACTTTTACCTTTAATGTGATTGCGTATCTCAGTTGTGTAAGAAGACACATCACACTGTTGTGTAGTCAGATTATGTAACAACGTTACATAATCTTAAAATAGGGAGAGACGTTGCATGTACACACACATTATGCGGGGAATGATGATACAGTCGAGTAACTCTCGGGTTAAAGTAGGTGTGACATGGAACTCTAAAACTAGTAGTCAATAATTGAAAATCGATGTACCACATCTCTACACTTTACATTTCTATCTACTGTTTTAAAAGTTATGATGACTGCCCAAACTAACTGGTTGACTGACTTTGGGGTACCTGAAACAGAAAGAGAACTAGTGTTGCGTGGCCGCAGAGCCCAGCGGACAAGTGTTCTGGCTGGATTCAACATAGAACTTGGCACCGAAGTGCTGCAGTTCGAGTTGCCACGTTCCAAATAACACACAAAGGTAGACAAGAAGATATGAGTGAAGAGGATCAATAGAGTTTTGACAAGTATAAGAGTGAAACAGAATGAGTATTGGTAGAAAGGAATATGAAAGATTACAGAGACTAAATACATCTGCGCTAGCCATTGACAACGATTTTCAGCCATGTCACCTATCATCTCCAGCCATTGATTCTTAGAGTCCCGAGGGCCCCAACCCGGAAGTCTGCATCTCCCTACCTGACTCAGTTTGACTGTCAGGGATTTCATGGATTGACTGATGCGATGTTTTTGTTTGGCCACCACTTACTCTTTTCCAACCTGCACCTATATCAGCTAGTAATGCCCGTCCGTCGGGGGAGGCGATGGTTAGGCATGCGCAGCACGTGACCTAGCCATCTCAATCTATGTAACTTTATAGCCTCTTCGATTGATTTTCCCTCTTTGCCCAACACTCTACGCCTAACGTCAACATTACTTACCTTACTATACCACCTAACGTGAGAAAAAGATAGTAGACATCTATGATCAGAAACAGTCAACCTTTTAATGTCTTCAACTCGTATTGGCCATGTTTCAAAACCATAACAACTGTTCTAGACCAGTCACACTCACACCGCCTGTTTGAATTGGTTTTTAGAGTTGTGTCTGCACTTGAAACTCACCACCGGCTACAGACCGAGTTGGGATGTGCAGTTTTAGGGATCGACACTTCCAACACACACATATACACGTTTTCAGAGTGAAGAGGCAGTATACGTCGGATGCTGGTCATCTGAGGGAAACACTTAACTGCTGTCGCATTCCTGTTCCCTAGCAGTACGACTTCCTCCAGCATAGTGTAAACATCTTACACCTTGCCGGTAACTACTTTTAGTCTAATCGACATCCTAACAAACTTCCTGGTACGGTAGGACCTCTAGGAACATTAGTCTCAGACAGTGAAGATCGCTGGGTTATTTCGATATGCAAACCCGACCAACACGTCAAGGTAGCAGCTTTCATTCGGGTGTTATTCATATGAGTATAAAACTTGGGCACTGTGGTAGAGTATAACTCCATTATAGATAAGATTTTATTTTGACAAAGTGTCACACAGTGTTACACAGTAATATTAACTGATGACCACGTTTCAAGCACAAATTATTGCCACTCATAATCATATCAAGCTACTCACACAACTTTTTCCTTCATTTGTATACATGAGTGAAAATTGATGATTAGACATTTGAATAAAAATCAATATGGGATAAAGTACATTCAGAAATAATAATATGAGTGTTATTCATCAAATACAATCAGATGGGAAATAAGACGAGTGTTTTTATAGTCAAATTAAGTAACTTGTTAGAATGTTGTGATGTGCTTGAATTGAAATAGAATTTTGAGATTATTTATTATCCTCCTCTGATTTGACTGGCGGTAGTAATATCTTCCATATCTCTGGTATTTGCATTGAGTCACTTCTGTTGCACATGTTGGGCGTAGTAGACTCAATGAACCAGGATCCAGCAATCAATCTCTCTCTCCACCTACCTAGATTACTTCTTAGAATTCTAACCCTCTCACACCCAACCTATTGTGTGGTTGTGTGTTAAAGCATGTAGAGCAATTGCTGAGCTTTTTTCTAAATTACTTATCTTCTCGGGGTCAGCCAAATTCTTATGTTTTGCCAATCTGATTACCCCCGATCTACTAGTTTGACCTATATAGTTGACCTCATAGTCATTGCAAGGTATTTTGTAAATCATATTATTTTGTCTAATTGGGTCAACCGACAGGGTCATTTAACCTACAGAGCTTGTTCTACCTGAGTAATTTTGTAGGTTTGAATGTCACCACCCTAATTCCTGCTTTATTAAGAATCCTAAGGGTCTCAGATGTCCCCTTCTTATATGGCATAACAGTAGATGACTTATATTCTTTCTTATCTATGTTATCACTACTAGTTTCATCATTATTTTTATTTTGCTTTTGGCGTTTTTCGATCTTCCTAATGAATTATTTCTGAATGTACATTATCCTATATTACTGATTTTTATTCAAATGTCTAATCATCAATTTTCACTCATGTATATAAATGAAGGAAGAAAGTTGTGTGAGTGCGTGACTTGATATGATTATGAGTGGCAATAATTTGTGCTCGAAACGTGGTCATCAGTTAATATTATTGTGTAACACTTTATCAAAATAAAATCTTATCTATAATGCAGTCGGGTGTTACTTTGAAAGAAATGAGCTATAGCTTCCCAAGTGTACATACTACTTATTAACCGATATCAGTACTTGGAAATCGCCAACGTCAAAATAAGAATGCTTTCTATCAGCCACATGGAAGTGATCTAAACACCGGGGACAGCCATTCCCCCCCCCCCACCCTGATTTAGGACCAAGAACATCAGTGTTATACCCGGTTTGATTCAGCCTGGAAAGTCGGATCAACTTTACGAGTTGTAGTTTAAGATCAACCAACTGACGATCACATATAACTTGAATATTTGTTGAGCAAAATTGTAGAAATAAACAACAAAACAATATTTTTCCATTTTGTTCTATCACTGTAAGTCATGAGAATCATACGGTAATTACAATTAAAAATCAATATGTGTATGCAGAAAACTAAACTAAAACTAGAGAATGGAGTGTTTGTGTGTGTGCATGTGTGTGTGTAGTGTGCCTGTGTGTGTGTATGAGCAATGATAATGGAAAAATTGAATAAGAAGCTTATTGAACTATTTATTTATTTATTTATCTATTATCAATTCTGATTAGTTTACGAGAATGAGAACTAGTTGTAGGAATTGTTTATCGAAATTACGCTCAATATTTACAAAGTCGTTCCAGTGAACTAGCATAATTTATTTAGAGAGAAAACAGATATTTGCCCCCCCCCTAAACCAGGGATCGAAGCCATCAGCAGGACCTCCAGATTACAGACAAATTCAGCCAATGGGGCTGAGTTTAGTGGCCGACCAGCTCATCAATTCTAACTTCTGCCAATACGTGATATACGGGAAGACTGCCAACCAGAGTCATTGGAGAGTATTTGTTCTCAAACCCGACACAAGCTGGTGGATGTCGCTGCTTACGACTTCTCACTAGACTTTTAGGCAACATCATCGTATATTGTGTCACTGACTAGTCAATACTGGATCGTTGCCACTGTCACCAGTGGTTTGTGTAATTCTGAGAGAGAATGTGTTCTGAAAGTGAACATGCAACTGTGCAGTCTGACTTATCTTCACAGCTACTGCAGCCGCCGCATAAAACAAATATGTATCATGGAGTAGAGGATGAATATAACAGTTTAGAAAGAGAAAAATTATACTATGCTGACAATTTCTCCCAGTCTTCGTCTCTTGTTTTGGCATACTCCTACAATTCGTTAATTCTCGTATTCTGCCTATTTTTCTCTATTGTTCCCCCTTAGTTTTTCCCGGGCTACTGAAGAAAGACTATAACACATTACGCAGGATGTTAAGGGTTGTCGGCAGGGTAAGCAACGTGCCACTTAACCAGCTTGTTAATATTCTGGTTGACAGGCACATGGACTCATGTGAAAAATGGGCCAAATCCATTTTATCTAACTCACACCACCCTCTTCACTCACAACTCTCCCCTTGCATCTCATCAAACAGGACCAGAAACCTATATAGAAAACTATATGCTCGCACTAGCAAGTACAAAATTTCAGCCATACCCTACTTAGCTCGTGTTCTGTGCGATAAAGAAAGCATTAGGCGTGACACCTATAATTCATTAAATAATCAGTAGTACAACTGGACCTCATCTTTCCAGCTCATATCATTTATAGGCACAACATTTCCTTTCTTTCTTATCCTTTCTCTCTCTCTTTTTTCCGTTATGTGCTGCTTTGTTTCTTTCTTCCGCTTACGCCAGTGAATATGACAGCTCCTACTTTTCTAACACCTTCAAACACCGTTCCGCTTTACCTTTGCTACTGACATGCCAACATGTTGTCATAATGAACTGAGATTTCCTTAATCTATGTAGAATTCTATTTACTGATAATGTACTAACTGGATGCAATAGTGTAGTAAAAATGCTGAGAATTCCATTCTGTATCACAAGTATTGTTTTGGAATAAAGCAAATTATTATTATTATTTCAATAATGAAGCAGTTTGAATAGATGTGCTTGTCTATAAGGAGTTCTACACTAATTACTCAGTCTACTAACCATCCATGTTACTTTTGTAGAAATAATTGCTGAATTATGCTGACCAAGAGTAGTCAGTATACATTACAATATCAAATACATTTAAATATATCACTGAAACTATATGCTGGGGAAATGCATGCAGTAGTCCTTAGTAGATCTCTCTGCTGACGATACTGTTTTCCTTCCCATTGCTTTCTAAGTAGAATATAAGGCTTAAAGGCTTTTGAAGCCTCAGTAAGAATGTTCCTTTTACGGAGGTGAGTGGGGAGGGGAAGGGGCGTAACATCACACTTAACATCCCTTATTCCCCGACTTATTACCTGCTTGGCGAGGTCTAGGAGTGAGTTGTGGTAATAACTGGTCAATTAAGAGTATGAGAAGTTGATGTCATGACCCAGTGACACGAGTAGCCATCATTTGTCAGAGAATATGGACGATAATAAAGGTGACAACTTTTCAAGAGTTGATTTGTGGCCGAGTGGTCTAAAACGCCATACTCAAGAGTAATCTTCTGGGTGTTCTGGTCCACGATGTGGGCGTGGGTTTGAATCCCACCTCCGACACACGCTTTTGTGCGTCGGTGGCACAGCAGTTAGGACTCTCGCCGACCATGCACATGGTCCGGGGTTTGATCCCCTGTCGGCGCACACCTGTTATCAATGGTCGGCCTGCAAAATTTGGGCTACGGATATCACATGCTGAAAATTCCATACTTCTACCAAAAGTACTGTGTGGAATCAAGCTATAATCAAAAAAAATTGATTTGTTTTTTCGAGTATTGGGTGCGTATTGTCGATGAGTCCCAGACTGGGACGAAACAATTGTCCAGAACTTCCTGATTTTCAAAGTTCCCTAACTGATATCAATCCGTCATCAAACTTGAAAAAAGCGTAACAACTGTTGGAGCTTGCTTCGAAAGAAAAATTACAACAGTGACTAGAAATCTTTGAAAAATCACTAAAGACAGCGACAGAGAAGTGGTTGAAATTATAGGTGATGTACGCATTTATGAAAACAAAGATGTGACAGTAAGTATAGCAACAGTCGTTTGAAATATGTTCTTTGGGATCAATTACACTATATTCAATTTATTATTATTATTATTAGCGTTTATAGGAATATCAAAATTCTAGCAAGTGGAACTGCAGCTTATTGGTTTCAGACACTAGACTTTTATTTAATGAATTGTGACTACAAATACCGTTAAATTTACCATAAGTCTCAGCAAGCAGATGATAACTTCATCAACCCTCACAATATGAGTGTGGATCATTGTCTAATTGTATGAAAGGTCAAATAGTCGCTGTTAAAATTTGCTTGTTGCATGTGCGATCTACTCATTACAACACAGAGAGAGCTAATAGCTCTGTACCTCTGTCAACACAATGACAGATGCAAACCTTCAAGGATGTATAAAGCATCACTTTTTACAAGGAGGAGACAGATCCAACTGTTGATGATATTAGATGGTTAGAGGCAATCGGCCACAGAAAGCCTTGGACCTAGGTTTCATGCTAGTTGGCACTCACCAGTCAGTCAGCAAGGCGTATCTGCAACCTTGAAGGAACTCATGTCCCTTCTGAGATTCGAACCCGCGTCACCCAGTGAGTTCTGCAGTCAGAGACGTTACCACTGAGCTATTCAGGCTGGCTCGCGATTGACCTCCTGTAGGACTGTAGTGGATATTTTGATTTGACACTAGTAACTAGTGTGATGTGTCTAGTCCTCTCTTTGATGCAGACTGAATTCTATCAGTCATGCTTCTATCAGGCTTCCTGCCGATTGCCTCCAACCATCTAATATCATCAAATCAATGTGTGCACCGTGATGGCGAGCTACCTAGAATGGTGGCCACATTGCAAAAACTGACTGATAGAATTCAGTCTGCACCAAAGAGAGGACTAGACACATCACACTAGTTACTAGTGTCAAATCAAAAGATCCAACTATTATCACAATAGGTCAGTTCAATTAGCCTTCATGCACAACAACTTGGTTGGGCCGAGGGTGAATAGACTTTGGTCTGATGTGACCAGCAATTCATACCATCTGTCAGGTGTGTCCTATTCACTGTCTTCACGTGGCGGAAGTGTTCCTCACAAAAGTAAAACGATGAACACGAACGTCTGCCGCTTACAACTGGATTGACTGGCGGACAAACACGTTTACTTATGGGAGCTGTAAAACCATGATTCCAAACCTTTAGTGTACATGGACTCCGAAATCCGAACAGATCGCATGGGGTACAAACTTGTTTCGGTTACTAGGAACCATTGGAACATAGCTTCTGACCCTGCTCCACTAGCTAGTGGATCAGACTTCCAGTCAAGGGTTCTGAGGGTGACCCCTTAAGACAACCACCTGCTTCGGTCTGGGAGTTCGGACAGTAACCCAAGCCATCGTACAAACCGTGAGATTTTGTGTGGCGCATCTATTGATGCCCATAATGTACGAAGTTTATGTTTTCATAATAACAATAATAATAATAGTTTAATTAGCGATCACTACTCAATTATTCACATCAACCAATGAAATCTTGACTAATACACATGAACAAAGATTTTAAAAAAAACCAGTAGTCATAACTTACTTGTCTATTGATGAGTTTATCTGCATCAAAATTCTCCAACTGTTCTTCTGTTAACTCTTTCAAATCTAATTTCGTGTCGATTTTCAGATCCAAAAACATTTTCAAGGAGGTACGTGCCATTCGTAGTTTTAAACGATTCTTTTCATCTTCTGTTTTCATTCGTTCACGTTGTATAGCTTCCTGGACAAGATTTGTCTCTTCCGCTTTCAAGAGACGTTCTTGTTCCGCTTGACGTCGAGCTTCAACACTCATGTAGTACTACAACAGCATAAAAGTAAATATTTAAACAATAGAGAAATTCATTTCAAGCTTAGATGACTGACTGACTAACTGGTTGAGTGAGTGAGTTTCAACATAGGACTTTGTACAGAAATATACGGGAGGAAGAACAATAATATGGAAAGACATGAGGAATTAATGGCGCCGGGAGATTACAAAGAATGAATGCACACCTGCGCCATCAATGAGATCGATTTTCAGTCATATCATCACCAATTGTCTCTAACCATCATTGATTCTTACCATCCCGTAGAGCCCAACCACTCAGGCAGTTAGTAGTCAGTCTGCACCTCCCGACGTGGACTCAAACTAACTTATGATTTTCAAGGACTAATGAAGCCATGTTTTGGTTTGAGAGAGAGATTGGCGCGTCATGAAGAGCACCTCAAACAAACTACAGACCTTCATCAACAGCTGTCTTCGCTCAATACTATTCAAGATCAGATGGCCGGTCAGAAAAGATCAGCAACAGGGATATCTGGGAGAAAACCAACCAGGAACAGATTGTGCAACAAATAGGCAGGAAGAAATGGAGGTGGATTGGCCATACTCTGAGGAAACCATCAAGTGACATCACTAGACAGGCCATTGCTCGAGTGGAACCCGAAAGGGAAGCGGCGAGTTGGTCGTCAGTGCAAGGGTGACTTGGAGGAGGTCATGTGAAGAGGAGATGAAAGCATGTGGGCAGACTTGGAGCCAGGTGAAAACTTTAGCAGAGAACCGAACGCAATGGAGACGTGCGGCTGAAGACCTATGTTCCTCTAGGAATTAAAGGAAATAATAATAATAATAAATAATAATCACGTGCTAGCTTCTTTCCAACCTGATCAATCCTATGTCAGCTAACAATGACCGTCGAGGAAGACGATCGATGGCTAGGCATGAGTAAAACATGGCCTAACCATCTCAATTGGTGTAACTTCATAACCTCATCGATTGATTTTCCCTCCTTACACCTAGCACTCGACCAAAGCCTAACCTCAGTATTGCTCACCTTATTATACCACTTCACACGGGAGATAGAACGCAGGCACCTACGATCAAAGACAGCTATCCTTTTCGTATCTTCCACTTCTTCTCACTTACAGCCATAAAGGAGGACAGAGCGAACTGGTAAGCAGTACAGACGTCAAACGAGCCTTCTGTATCCCTGCTGAGATTTCTTCAGTGATCATCCCGCATGGGCTGACGCAACTTCCCAAATAAATGAAGTGGTCAACACGTCACCACCAACATACTTCTTAGTTTGGCAATAACTTCATTACATTGGCATTGAAGTCGCCTGCTAAAACGACTCTGTCTGAGTGTTTTTCCTTTTCTGCATCTGCACCATCGACAACAATATCACCAAAAATGTATCCAGCCATTGGTTCTTAGCACCACAACCCGGTAGTCTATACCTCCGTATGTGACCGGTTGAAACCAAAAGTCAAAGACTTCATGGATTAATTCTGTGTTTTGACCAAACCACCTTTAAATCTTTCCCAGCCTGATCCCATGTCGGCTAACATTCCTCGATGTGAAGACGGCGATTTCTCAGCATGAGTAACACACATGTTAGCCACCTCAGTTGATTCAGTTTCACAACCTCAATGATTGACTCCCCTGTCTCACCTAACACCCTACGCCTAAACTTGTTACTACCGACCATGTTAATCTGTTGTTATAATTAATCCCTTCGGTTCCGAGTGGAACATGAAACTTCGCGTCCTGTTCTTTGCAGCCTTCTTAAGCTCTCATCCTCTCCTCTCACACGATCCTCCCCATGTCACCCTTTGACACACGTTGTTTCCTATTCGGGTTCCACCTGGCACATGACGTCAATCAACGGTCTGAATATATGTCTCACTACTACTTAGTTAATATTACTTACAGCTTGGACTATCAAAAACCTCCAGCAATACATGACTGACTGACTGATTGGTTTCAGCATAGAACTTTCCACCGATGTGCGGCAGTTCAAGTCGCCACACTCCACTCCTTGTAGCACACAAAGCAAAAGAAGAAATGAAAAATATAGACAGTAAACAGGGATGTGAGACAAAGGAATAGTAATATCGAAGAACAATATAGTTTCATTGGAAATTGTAAGTCACAAGGAGTGGATGCATCTGCGCCAGCATTGAGAACGATTTTGAGCCATATCACCAATTGTTTCCAGCCATTGGTTTTTACCGTCCCGAGGACCCCAACCAGGAAGTCTACATCTTCCTACGTGGTTGGCTGAAACTAACTGTTGTGGATTTCATTGACTGATGAGGCCATGTTCTGGTTTAACCACCAGTGGCTCTTTTCCAACCTGATCCATCCTATGTCAGCTAACATTGCCCATTGTCGAGGAAGGCAGGTGATGGCTAGGCACGCATAACACATGGCCTAACCATCTCAGTCGATGTATCTTCACAGCTTCGTCAACTGATTTCCCCTCCCACCTACTTAGCACTCGACGCCTAACGTCAATATTGCTCATTGTATTATACCATTTCACAGGGGAGATGGAACGCAGGCACCTATGATCAAAGACAGCTAGTCTTTTCAATAACAGCTAGCCTTTTTCAATACATTGCATAGAATTTCTCTTATTCAGTTTGTTTAAATCTAATAAAATATGATCTCTTATAGTGTTGTTTACTCTGGCGAGTATTTAAAACATTTATAACCTGCAGTTTCGCAAGTTTCTACGAAACATGAGATAAAACAAGCATTATCCTCGATGGATGACAGCTTATCCCAGTAAACGACATGACAATTCCTCTGAGTAGTGTGTCCTTAGTTCACAAAAGAAAATGTACCCCTGAACTTTCGATGATCGGCATTCAACAAAATATCGTCGTGTATTTCTCGAAAGGAGATAAAGAAGAGATATCAGCATACTAGTGGATTGGTTTGTGTTCCAGGCCCGACAGAACTGCGTCACACGATCTCCTATAACAAATACTATGCTATTTGAAGATCCTGCTGAACGAAGACAGAAAGTATCATGCAATAAACTCGACTGAGAACTCTGTACATTACATAAAATAAACATTGTTTCAGAATAAAGCTATTAATATTGCTTTTTAAAAAAATCAATAAATTACCTGATCTTTTTTATCTTGATACGTTTCAATTTCTTCTTTACGCGTTTCAATTAGGTAACGGCGATTCAGTAATTCACTGTGTAGCAGATGTTCATTCTTACGATAATCATGGACTAGTACACGTCGACAATTAGCCAGTGATGACTGGCCAACTTCCAGGATGTCAGTTATCTGTTGCATAACTTGTGCAAACATTGTTAACTGACGCGATAATTTATCCGGATCATTTACATGTGTTGACTACAAATAAAACAAGTAACAGGCAAAACATGTAACATCAATTAACTAAAGCAACTTCATCTAATGACATAGACGCATCTAAGGATAAGTAACGCCAAACATGCAATTTAACTAATAGACTTATATTTTGAGTTACACCACGAATGTATATCAGTTAGAGATGCTCGCTAGTGACTTGCTACATGATCGAGTTTCCTGGAGTTCTAGTGAGAAGTCGTGACCAGTGAGGTCCATCGAGTGTGTCTGTCTGTTTTCGACATAGAAATTTGCACCGATGTGCAGCAGTTCAAGTAGCCACACTCCACTGCTTGTAGCACACAAAGCAACAGAAGAAAGTAGAAGAAATGCAAAATAGAGACAGTAAACAGGGATATGAGACAAAGGAATAGTAATAACGAAGAATAATACAGTTTCATTGGAAATTATAAGTCACAAGGAGTGGATGCATCTGCGCCAGCCATATCACCAATTGTTTCTAGCCATTGTTTTTACCATCCCTTGGACCCCAAGCAGGAAGTCTACATCTTCCTACGTGGCTAGTTGGCTTAAACTAACTTATGGATCCCATTGACTGGTGCCATTGTTTTGGTTTGACCGCCGCTAGCTAGCTCTTTTCCAGCCTGACCCTATGTCAGCTAACATTGCCCATGTCGAGGAAGGCGATTAATGACTAGGCATACGTAACACATGTCCTAACCATCTCAGTCGATGTAATTTCACAACCTCGTCGATTGATTTCCCCTCTTTACCTAGCACTCGACGCCTAGCTAACTCAATATTGCTCACCTTATTATACTATTTCGGAAGTGAGGATTGATTTCCCAATGATGACATTGGTTGGTGGTCGCGCTAAAAATCATGAATTGATAGAAGTTAGAATTCATGGGCTGGCTATTCAATCGGGTCCCAGTGGCTGAATGGTATACGAGCCAGCTTTCCTTGCAACCGGAAGGTCCTGGGTTCGAAACCTCGTGGGTAAGTACAGCTAATGAGTCCCAAACTAGGATGAGACAACTGTCTAGTACTCCCTGGTTGGTTTCCAATGGTTCTCTAACTGATATCAATCCGTGGTCAAACTCATAAAAACAAATTTAATCCTTACAAACCAACTCTTGAAAAATAAGGAATTTATATTGAAAAATACCTGAGATACCAGCTGTCCACCGTATTCACACTGACTGATCCCAAGATCTGTAAATTTATCAAAGAATATTGCCTGCCTCAAGTGATTAACACGAATAGGCAATTCCAAGTTATGTATCAACTCGATAACACATCTTTCCAGCCGAAGAGGTTCCATAAATGGACACAATTTAACAAATTCTTCAAAATTTAAACTTTGATAAACTTGAGACAACTGGAGTAAAGTCTTCGCCACAATAACATCATGCAGTTGTGTACTGTAGACTTTAAGATCTTGGAACTCGGTCATATACTCCAGGGCTGGTTGAACAAGTTCCCAAAGTTTTAAAGGTTGAAAGTCAGCTTCCAAGACTTGATAAAGTTTAGCCAAATCTGCTGGAACAATAGTGTGTATTTTATGCCTGACTAATTCACGTATTAAACTTTGACGAGTTGGAACTTGAAGAAGACCTAAATTAAAATGAAATGAAATGTTAACGGCAATTATTCTAGAAAAATTACCTAGAAGGCCAGCAAGCGTTTTCTGTTTCATAGCAGTGTATTCGCCAGACAGTAAGAATTTATCTGCATTGACTTTAGCATTCGGTAAAGGAATGGCGACAGTTGCACACAGGACACGAGATCCAAGTTTTGAGAGTTCTTCACGTGTCAAATTCTTCTTGTGATCCCGGTAGAGTGTGTACAGTTTGTGCAGAGCAGCTGCATGGTATAGGTGACAACCGCATCGTAGGAAAAGTTCTGCTGATTTTGAATAGTAATTTGTCATTAATAATGGGCTAGCTGGTTTTCTAGACATCATCATAAAACTCCAGATATCTTCGACTGTTTTAAAGGCTTCATTGTACATTTCTAGCTCCATTGCACAATCCAGTTGTCGTAATCTAGTCTCAAAGTGTAGTGTTTGTGTTTCTGGATTATTGAGATTTATTGCGTTTGGTGCATTCGGTTGTAATTGGTTTTGAACTTTCTGTGTGTGTTGTCGAATCTTGACAGACACAACAAAGGGGGGGGGAGAAGTTAGACGTTAAGAACAACAGGAAAGTGAACATACCAATTCGGAGAGTTTTTTGAATTCCGTTTTTCGGCCATACTTTAAACAGAAGTTATAGGCTGTAAGAAGTAAGGAGAGAAGAAAAAGGTCATTTATGAAAAATAACTGGACTTACCGTCATGAGCGACTTCATGGTATAACTTTTCCAACTTTGAATTACTACGTAACAAATCTAACACCAAACGATATGAATCCCATAGGAATTTTAACCATGGCATTAGAATTGTTCTTGCGGATCGATCTTGTGTACCCTCTTTACTCACGGCGTTCAACATTAGGCTAGATGAAAAAAAAAGTGAAGAGAGGAGAGCATGTAAGTTAGTGAGTAAAATTCATTGGTGACCAGAGAGTATTCGATGATTAACAATCCCCTTCTATGTGGAGGAAGATAATGACTCAACCTGACTATACAATTCTAAAAGAGATTCGAAAGTCTCAGAACCATAAGGTTACTTATCGTGTTAGTGCTAGTCTGTAATCATTAGTCAGGAAAACGACTGGATAGGCATGTCAAATTCAGCTTAGCAATCACTTGTGTTCCCAATGAGTTGTCATTTAGCCACTCTAATTGTGAGGTTTAACGATACTATCTAGCTGCCCAAATCTATGTAAGCGGAGCAGTGTTTGAACCCGTGGTCCAGTGAGTGATAGATAGTCAAGCGCCATGATTAAGAAGCCACATCTTCAGAGATGGGTATGTGCAAAAGACACGTTCACTATAGTAGAAATCAAGACGAAGTACATTGGTGTAATTGACTGCGGGGTTGTGCTATCGAATCTTCAATACTGAATGAACGACTTTGTACGACCAAGGTTGAATAGATTTCAGCCTTTCTTTCAAAATTCCTTCATAGTCTCTGCCACATAAGTGCTATGCACTGCCTTCACGTGGCGGCGGTGTCCCTCACAGAAGTGAGGCCAAGTGGACTTACAGGTCTACTTAAGGTAGCTGGAGAAGCCTGATTCCAAACTCGTGGTGATGCAATGGCGTATGAACCAGTTTCGGTCATCGGAAACTATGGGAACAAAGCCCCGCTGCATTGTAAGTCAAGCTTTAAGTCAAAGCTTACGGAATATGACACATTAAGACAACCACTTGCCTCAGTCTGAGCATCCGACCACCAAGCAAGCCCTCACACAAACCACTAGATTATCTGTGGGGTATCTCTTGGTTCCCTTTTTTTATTCCTTCACGTTCCTAGAGGAACACAGGGCTTCAAGCTAGAGGCTTGAAGTTTCTGTAGCAGTGGTGATTATTTTTATAGGATGGGGTTGCTAGCCTCATACCCAACCTTTTCTCTTTACCAGCTTTATTACTTGCTTAGCGAGGTAAAGGAGTGCGTCTGTGGCCGGGGATCGAACCCCGGACCATGTGTACGGTCGGCGAGCGTGCTAACAGCTGTGCCACCGATGCACTCATACTCTATAGTTTTAGTAATTATCAGCCCATGTATCTCTGGGACATAAACAATATTAAAGATACTTTTGTATTACAAATTTCTGGAAAAGAAAAATAGATTACTCCTCATTACCTTTCTGGTGTCTCCAGAATATCTAAATCTTCAATATCCATAATAGCACTTTTCGACTCTTCCTGAGCTTCTTCAGTTTTACTTTTAATTTGATTCAAATAGTAGCGAATAACTTGATCAAGAGAGGCGGTGTTTTCCTAAATTTTCAAGAAATTATTAAAATATATTGGTTTGACGAAGAAGCGAAATAATGAAAACCTACCATCACGCTCATATTCTTGTACTGATAGATAGCCTTCCTGAAGTGGATATTTTTCCGCAACTCTACACAGAGTTCGACGAACAACATCATTAATTCTTCTAGAACTTTTTGCCATTGTTTTGTTCGCCTAACTCGCATCACATCGTAGAGAATTTCAAGAGCGTTAGCTTTCTTATCACATTTTATAAGTTCTAAGAGAGACAACACAAAAGAGAAGGAATAAATAGCAGTTTTAATATTACACAGAAACTATAATTTTCACCAATGCATAGATAGATAGATACGAATACAAAATAAATGAGGAATATTGAAATAGAAATAAAAAGCTATCACTGGAATCAGTTTAATGAGATAGGCATTTGTTACACTTAATTGAATTAATCTATCCTAGTTATACAGCACAGGTTTCTAGTGTCACGACGCCTAAGGTGTGCGTGACGTGTTTAATGTCTGCTACACCAGACCAAAACCAATGAAGCGAAATTCCGAACACATGATAGCAGAAACATGAGTCAAAGCTATAGCAAGCATAAATATGTAGGGGTATATGAAAAATTACTGCTTTCTCAAACAGCTGGCAATGAGACATATATTTTATTTATGAAGGCCAGTGATACTCCATCGGCTTACTAAAACCTCAGCAGGTGGAGCAAGGTTCGGACCTGAGATATAGTGGTTGGAATCTGATCACTTGAAGTGGTATAATAGGGTGAGCAATATTGAGGTTAGGCTTCGGTCGAGTGCTACGTGTAAGGAGGGGAAATCAATAGACGAGACTGTGAAGCTACATAGACTGAGATGGTTAGGCCATGTGTTACGTATGCCTAGTCATCAACTGCCTTCCTCGACGGGTAATGTTAGCTGACATAGGATGGATTAGGTTGGAAAAGAGCCACTGGTGGTCAAACCAAAACATGGCTTCACCAGTTAATGAAATTCACAACAGTTAGTTTCAGCCACGTAGGAAGATGTAGACTTCCTGGTTGGGGTCCAAGGGATGGTAAACACCAATGAAGGTTGAAGATAATTGGTGATATGGCTCAAAATTGTTCTTCATGATGGCACAGATGCA